TCACCAAGTTACAGTAACAAGAATTATATTAGTAGAATGTATCTGTTGCTATTGATCTTAATTCATCAATGAAAATGTGAGGTGGTTATCACACCATCTCGTTCTCCAAGACTCTAAATACATTAATCGTGTAATTGTTTAGTGAATTGGAGTATGTGTAGGAGTTATTCCAAGAAAACCCCCAAGGTAATCGTAACCCTAAGTAAGGCTAACTAATCCTTCACAGTTTTATGGTCATTTAGAAGGCTGCTAAATGCACATTCCAAATCATAATATAAACCAAAAAGCACATACAAGTTAACCTATAAACAACAAATTATTGCTTATAAAAACCAAAAAGCTCTATAACCGCTAATGATTCTGGAATGGGCGGCACATGATAGAGAGTTCTGCATTCAGAGCATTTCAGAGTCCCTGATGCCAGCAAGAGGCCGTGAGGTCTAACCCCAAAGGCCAGATCCTCCATCCTCCTCATTAGCACTTTCCCAACAAATATCCCCATGACATCAGTCCCGATTCTGACTTAAGACGTGCTAAGGTTTCTTTGGAGACAATAAAGCCCTACTCTCCCAGAGGACCTTTAAAAGAGAGAAAGGTTGGATGAATATTCTTTCACCGTTCATGTTCTTGTGAGTATTTGGAGAGAAAATGCACTTAGCAAAAGTAGCAGACAACTATACTTTGTGAATACTTGCTAAATAAATGCTGTTACTCAAACAGCAACCCCATTGCTCTCCATTCCCCAGTAAGTGAATTACCCAGAGCACTCAGTTCTGATTTCTATCCTACTGTGCAAGGACCTTTTTCCTACACCATCTCCTCCGTCCTACAGCACCAGACACTCTCCAAATGCCACACCCACAACCCCTTCAACAGAAGGCAAACTGGCCAGGACTGAAACAGCCCCACCAGAGTATAGGACCAAACTTAAGGCCACGTTAACATCTTTTTTTTTTCTATCTCCAAGGCTAAAAGGAGGCTGGGGAAGGCACTGCTGAGTTGATTAAGGCCTTTTCACCTTGCCTATTTAGGGAGACACATCATTGATGCCCTACTGAACAGAGAGGATTACTTTGTTGCAAGGAAACAATTGAGCGCATGAAAGTAGTTTGGTATCCATCCTTCTGTTGTCAGGCTTATCCCGTATGTCCTAGACTCTGCCTGGGTTGATAAGAAAAAGCCAGAAGAAAACAAATAACTGAAATAGCCAAAACTTTCATTTATTTGGCATTGCATTATGTAAGGAAGCTATGCAATTTACTGTCCTTCTCCCTTAACTCTCCCTCCTCCATCTCTGTCCCCCAGTATCACCTAAGCCACAGGGCCAGGTGCTAACACTTTAGCAACAAACACGGATCACGATATTGATCCTTTAACGCTTTCTCATAGATACTCCTTTGTACCACTCAAGCATTTCGATATCCAAGAAAATACTCAATGTCACACCTAAGGATATAAATACATTTTACAACTTTTAATTGGAGCTAAAAATGGGCTTTGCAGATTACGACTGGAAAAGCCATAATTTTTCAGGCAACTAAAATTAGATCATTTTGGTGAGCAGAAGATATATTCCAAATAAAGCAGTAAATTTCACACAGAAAGCCTCCAGCAGGGAGGGCAGAGTTCACAGCTATATTTCTCTGTATGGCCTTTCCCAGAGTTTAAAAGCCTCTTTGGAGTATAGTCCCGCATTACCACAGGGACGTCCAGAGCACCAGCCAAAATGAGGCAAATACAGGACTCTGAGCAGTCTGTACTTAATATCCCTAATTTGTAAATGATGAGGCAAAAAAATAGCAACAACCAGTTTCTAAGCCAAAAAAAAAAAAAAAGAGAGAGAGAGAGAGAAATAAATGGCAAAATGTTGATTGGGAAACGATTCTGTCCCGTTACTATAGCAGGGGCATGAACCACTCCATGATGCACATGTTTCCAGGGAGTCCTAGGGAGGAAGCCACAGAGCAAATACAGGGCAGAGGCCAAGCTGGTTTTCTGCAGCAAGATTTCTCCCACTCTCTGCAACCTAAAAAGCCAGCCTCTAGAGGAATACACACTAAGCTGATAGATATGATCATTTTGAAAGAAGAAAAATTTGCTTTGCTAGTCCTATTTTCTGACCTAAGGACTTTCAATCTTTCTGGATAGTAAGTGAAGTGTAAGTAGCATACAGATGAGTGAACACACACATTTCTCGTGTCTACCACAACCTCCTTGTTACGAAGACGAGAGATGTATGTATTCCCCCATCCCAAGACATCCATCTTCTAACCATGCTCCCCAAAGGCAATGAATGTAAATCATATGGTTGGGAAATCATCCTCTGTACCCACCTAGAAGGATTCTCTGACCCTGGCTGAGACTCTCTATTCCCAGGCCAAACTCCCTCACTCAAACGATGGCTTCCTCTCTCATGTCCTGCTCTTCTGTTCATGGAGTTGATTGATTCTTGCATTCTCATAAATGATTGCACAGGAGAATTTAAATGTCACTTAACAAGAGGAAATCTGAGCAAGCCGAGATCAATCATAGTTCAGTGACTTGTTGAAAACAAAGCTTTCATTGGCTCTGACCAGTAAAGCTGTTACCTTTGTCCTGGGCAGTCTATATTGCAAGAGTCATGAAAAGACAGAACTCAAAAGAGAAAAGGTAACACTCAGGCACCTCATTGCCTGTGGGATCCATGCCAGTCTCTGGTCAACAGAGTGCAGACATTTGGTTTTATTCTTCAGAAATTTAAGTTTTACAAGATTATGCTTTTTACATTTTAAGAACAACCCATTAGTACTAAGGGGAAAATAAAATCTAACCTCTCAGGGCGCCTGGGTGGCTCAGTTGGTTAAGCATCTGCCTCAGCTCAGGTCATGATCCTGGAGTCCCAGGATTGAGCCCCGCATCGGGCTCCCTGCTCAGCGGGGAGTCTGCTTCTCCCTCTGGCTCATGTTCTCTCTCGTTCTCTAATAAATAAATAAAAATCTAATCTCTCTTGTCTATTAAAACCACTCTTTCCCTAATAGCATCAGGTAGTACTGCTTGAGGCTCTTCTCGCTCACGACTGCGGGAACCCCACAGGCACCGAAGCTGTGCTTGGTCAACAGCGTCCCCTGGTGGTTACCGCCCCCAACGGTCGGACCTAGAGTTTGTGGGACTCGGGGCACACCCATGTGCAAGCCAGGGCAGATGCCTTTAGCATCCTCATAGATTTATCGTGAACACTTCCCAGCCCCTCTCATTGGCAAGGTGGGGAGCATAAGGCAAGGAGGTGTGAAGGGCCTCCTTGTGAAATATTTACAAACTGAGTAAGTCAAGAGCCACTTTTAAAAATAGTATACATCCCTTTGCCAAGATTCTCATGCATCCCTTCATGGGGCATCATCTTAGCCCACCATGTCTCAAGAGCAATAAATGTCAGTGATGGAGCTGGGTTTTTTTCTTTTTCGTCATCAATCTAAATTCATTCCATTTAAATGCCCATCTTTTATTGGAGGTTAGGCCTTCCTATTTTGGAGAGAGTTAAAATGTCCCTTCTTTTATAAAATGGTGGCATTAAAACATGATCACTTTAACAAATTATCCTTACTTGACGAAGTTGGCAACCTTATTTTTTTTTTTTTAACTGATGGACAATTTTTGAAAATAAAAAAACTAAAAAGCTCTTGGGTAATGCCAAACCCCAGCCCCCAGTTATTTTCATCCCTCCTCTTCTGCAATAATTAAGTTTACTGGGGTAGCAGGACATCCCTGCAGTCGTAGTAAGACTAAGGTAAATAAATCCTTGGGCTTCCTTTTCACTGTCCATCACTCCCTTGCTTATGTTATAGACAAACCACCCCTCACAAAAGGTCCAAGTTCTTAATAGAATATTTTGTTTGCCCAGGATGAAAATGTTATCACTGGGTAGATGTCATCAAGACTCCAATGTAAAAGCCAGATCTACCTCTGGGAGTCAGGTATGATTAGAAAAACCTGGACTAGGACTAGCAAAACCTAGACTCATGGTTTGAGGTCACCTGGAATCTGTTTGTAGGAGGGACCCCGAGGTCTCCCAAGAGACCACTTACTCTAAGGGGGAGAAGAAAAATCAGGCAAACAAGTTTGCCGGGTCTTCATCATCAGACCCTGAGGGAAAGGGGATTCTGAGTTCTACACAGAGTCGTTCACTAAGACTTGTTGTTCCCCACCAACATTCCACAGTTCTGTCTGAGTAATAAGGAAAAGGGAGGATTCCCCCAAAAATTGAAAAAGCTTTTTCTTCTTTTTTTAAACTAAAAACCCATGTAAGACATTAGGGCAAAAAATACCCCTGCAATGGTATCTACTTTGCATATAATAAAACGTAGCTATCACACACCAAGAACATCAGATAGTAAGATAGCACAGCTCACTCACGGTGCCTTAAGGCAGCATGATTCAGTACAGCTTATAACATCACCTCTTAGCCCTGTTGGGAGCATCCAGCAACAGTCCTGCTGTCATGAACACTAGGATCTTCAACATGGACACACGCACACGCAGGGACAAAGATCTCAGTAGATGACCTGCCTCACTGTCTCTGAGTTGTTGAGTCCACTAGGAGGACGTGAGAGCCACCCTTCCGCTCCAACCACGGCCTCTCACAAGTAACAGAGTGATAATAATATTAGAAATAATAAGATATTAGAAATCATGGGCTCGGAGAGGAAGACCCCCAACTTCAGTCGAGGTTAAGAGCCAGAAAAATATGGATCACAGGAGGCTAATACCAACATACCAATTCCAGGTTTCCCTGGAATGTGAGTATTCTTATTACTATGTTTTTCAACCTCGAAGTAAATGGCAGGCATGTAATTTGCACTTAAACATCTCCAGGAGTGTCGAAATCAAATCACTTGAAGACAAGGTCTTCATCTTCCTTTGCCTTCACCTCTAAACCTCCCATTAGTAGAAAATGAAATGCTTATACCTTACTTTCCACCTTCCCCTCATCCTCTCTCACCCATATTAATATATAGTTAATATACCGAGTACATTAGCAGCGCACTGAAGAATTCCTGAGACGTCTTCAATTTCCTCTTTGTTGGAATGGTCTGCATAGGAGCATCTGTTGGAGATATTGTGGAAATTCCTTTCTGCATCCCTGTAACTAAGAAGAAAACAAAATTAGCATACGGAGACCATTTTTAAACCATCTGCGAATGCACTTGTATGCGTACACACAAGCGCACGCCGTCTGTGCCCCCGGTGAAATTGCATTTTAAAGAAACTGCAGCTTTTAGACACCGCTTCCGGCATAAGCCACCACTAACATCAGCATTCACGGTGCGGACCAGGAACTGGAGGCCGGCCTTAATAAGGAAGCTCTGGGTGAAAAACACAGAGGAGGAGAGCCAGAAGATCCAGCAGTCTGCACGAGTGTTTCCATTTCACCGCAGGGGGTAATCTGTTCCTGTAAGGAAGACGCCGAGCAAAAAGCGTAACTCACAGTTCTTACTTGGTGCATGGGCACAGTGTTAGAAGTAAACACGTCTTAACCTCTCGCACAGTCAAGGGAATAGCAACATGATGCACGGATGACAAATTCGCTGAGGAAGCATTTGGAGTCTGACAGAACTTGAATAGGGTCTTACCATTGTCTATCTGTGAGACTTGGGGCAAGGGACCTCATCACTGTGGGTCTAACCAGCCTCCCTCATAAAATGGAGATCCTCCCCCGCCCCACGTTCTTGCGAGGACAGAATGACGAAATGCCCATGTCATCAGGTGTTGCCTGGAACTTCTCCAGTCGCCTCTGGATTGGAGCCAAGGCACCAACGCTGAAGACAAACAGGGACCTAAGGCTCCCACGTTCCCCAAGAGTAGCCGTTCCCGCCAGAACTTAAGAAAGGACTCGAGTCACTGCCATTGAGAAGCAAAGCAATGAAACAAATTTGAAAGGCAATCTTTAGGGGCACCTGGGTGGCTCAGTTGGTTAAAACGACTGCCTTCAGCTCAGGTCATGATCCCAGGGTCCCGGGATCGAGCCCCACGTCAGGCTCCCTGCTCGGCGGGAAGCGTGCTTCTCCCTCTCCCACTCCCCCTGCTTGTGTTCCCTCTCTCGCTGTCTCTCTCTCTGTCAAATAAATAAATGAAATCTTTAAAAAAAAAAAAAAAGAAAAGAAAGAAAGGCAATCCTTAGAAGAGCAAGGAACTGGCCTAGGAAGATAGTGCAGTTATTATTCCTCCCCTCTCCTCCAAGAAAAAGAGAAAGGACAAGTTTTCTGCAGAAGCCCAGCTGGGGAAAGAGGGTCCACCCTGACTGAGATTGGGGGCTGGGTATCGCATCCCACCATGAACGCTTGCCGAGGTAGCCTAATTCCTGAGTGGAGGGAGAAGGTTCCAGAAAGAGTTACTAATGGGGAAAAGAAAGAGAAGCCAACAGAAGCAGCCTACCATACCTCCATTTGGCAAACAACAGGTGTTTCCCATGGGTGAGGGAGATACGAGGAAAGAGAGGGGTGCTTTCGTTGTCCCCGCTGACTACCTTCCCCATCTAGAGGCTGCCAGCAGGAGAGGGATCCCACCGGCCAGACTGTGGAGTACAGTCCTCAGAGCCAGGAGTAGGGCCATCTGATGCAGTCCAGGCAGTACATGTACCTGACTGACGGCATCACAGCCAAGAAAGGGCTGTCACAAACATCAGTGAATTAAAAAGGGTTTCTGCCATTTTCCATTTCATTCCTGCCTGATACATCAGAAGAGAGAGGAACCCAGAAAGGGGCAGCCTGGACCGCAGCAGTGAGAAACCACAGGATACCCCCTCTACACTGCATTCCCAGTCCCTCAGGCTAAGGCCTGACACAGGCAGAGAGGGGTGTAAGGGTGAGATTGGATATGGGATTGAAGGTGTGAACTCAGCTGAAGTGGACTTCATACTCCCTGGAAATTCCCAGAAATCAGGGCAATCTTCCCGAGCTAGCATCAAAGGGGACCCATCCTCACATGTTTGAAATGACTGAAGAGAAAAAAAATAACACAGCCTCATGTTTTCACATCTCACCGAGATCAGACCCCAATAAACCAGGTTGGCAAAATGCTCAATACGGTTTCCAGAATGCAGGAATCACTCAATAAAAGGTGGAATGGGAAAGGCAGTCATTAAAAACAGACAAATACAGGGTTATTGTAAAATCAGGCTCCCTCATTTTAACTGGAATGACCACAAATTATTTTTTCTCATAGCCTCAATTTCCTTATCTGAAAAATGAGCTTTATACAATGATCTTATGAAACAGATGATCAGGATTACAGAAAAAATAAAATGTGAAGTGCCCAGTACATTGCCTCAAAAAGAGTGATCAATCAATAATAGCTTTTACCTAACCTTGTTTTCATTCATTCAGATAGATATTCTCTGTAAATATATGAAAAAGAAGCTAGATCACTTTCTAGATAAAATACTGTAGAGCTACACAATCTGGTCATGACCATAAAACAGCATTCGAGTTTGTTTCCAGAATAATCAGGGTTCACCCACTTCTCGTGTTCTATGGAAATTATTGTAGCTTAATCCCTATTCAATTGTGCAAAGGAAAAAAGAACAGAAGGTTGGCTGTGTACAAAACAAACACGGGGCCCACAGTGATAATTGGAATAACAGAATTTAATTTTAGATGACTATAGGAAATGTTGTCCCAAACTAATAGGAGGTTGGCAGCAGGCCCACCTGTGATGAGCATAATGATGCTTATGCTTGAAAAAAAAAAAAAGGACAAAATGAGTGGCATGATTCTGAACACCTATTTCTTCATACTTCAGTTTTTAAAATATAAAATGATTGAACATTACATCCCAGGAAGCCGGATTATCATGTGTTTTCCAGTCATAGTTTTAAAGACATCTCTGCTTTGTCTGCACTGTCCTAATCCCAATCCATCCTCGGGAGCTCCGGACAGGGAGGGAGTCTCGCGGTATAAACACGTGTGAGAGTGGCTGGTGAGGCATTCTAGACGCAGAAATTTAGATGAAGGAAAAAAAAAATCCAAACTATGACAAGAAGCTGCAGCTAGAAGACGAACGGAGCATGTTTAGCTCCTGATGGTAAACAAAGGATTCCAAACTTCTACAGACTCAAGGATCACAGGGCAATAATGCAGAGGGAGGGCAAAGGGGAAGACAATCCAACAGTGTGGTACGGAAGAGTCAGAGACTAAGAGTGGCAATAATAATAATTCAGTGAACACATTGAGGACTTTTGTGTACTAAGCACTGTAGTACTTTACATGATTCTGTGACCTGAGGTTATCATTATCATTTCATTTAACGTCAGCCCAACCAACCCTGCTATTACTACCATCTTAAAAATGAGAAAACGGAGGCATTCAAAAGCAGAATCTGACTTTAAATCTAGTAAATCTGCCCTGTGGTAGGTCTACTCCCAAGGCACGTTTTCCCAGCCCTCGGCTGTAAACCACAGGACAAAGATGCACAGGGACACAGCATAATGGCAAAAATGACATCAGAGGAGAGAGTCCTCATAAACCAGACTTCCCTCAATCCCGGTGCCTTTGAATTCTGAAGGTGAACCCAGCCTGCCTCCCACTTACCCCTCTTGTTTCCCACTGTTCTTTCCAAGCCACACTGTCCGGGAAGCGAGCCCATCCCCTAGAAGCCTGAGTTACAGAGACGTACACGAAGATGTACACTCAGCGCCCCTTTACCTCATTTTACATCGAGGCAAGACGATGCCACAGGACCAGGACGCTGTTTGGGTGAGTGCACTCATGCAGTTTACAGAAGAAAATAAATAAAATAAAAATATAAGAAACTTACCACGAAGTCAATCTGACACACAGCGGCAAAACATTAAGCATAAATGAGAAATTAAGCAAATCAGTAATATGTATGCTCTACAGGAAAGGCTCTTGGCATTAGAAATGTAATGGATCCTGGAGAGTATTTCGAGCCCTCCTTTTATACCCCCTTCCAAGAACAATCTACTCTTCTATCCACTGTACACATACCTCCATGTATTTACCTCCAGGGTGCATTTCTTTCATTTATTCACTCCCCCCTCACCCCAAAAAAACCATGTAAGCCCCTCCTATGAACCAAGCAATTACAAAGGCATAGGAACACAGAGGTAAATCATTTCGATAAGTCAACAAAACAAACTCTGATAAGCACTACGAAAAGTAATAGCAGAGAGGAATAGAACACAAAATGATCGGGGTTGGAGATGGAAGTAGGGGAAGGAGGGTTTCTCTAGATTGGGTGGCCAGAGTACATTTTTCTGAAGATAATGACATTTAAACAGAGACCTGAACGTATAAAAAAAGTAACCCATGCACACATGGGGATGGACCATTCCAGGAAAATGGAATGGTATATGCCAAGACCCTGAGGCTAAGCAGAAGTTGGGAAACCCACAGCTGCCTGGCCGGGCAGGCAGGGAGTGAAAGGGGAAGTGGAGGGGATAACAGAGAGGTGAGTGAAGGCAGATCACAGGAACAGTTCAGATTTCGGTCTATCACAGTAAGTCATGACATGGTTGAAAGCAGGGATGTCACAGCGTAATACCTGGCCCCACAGCATCAGTCAGCAAGGTTATCTGGGAACCGGCTAGAAACGCCACTCTCTGCGAGCACGGGATATATGGGGTCAGAAGCCCTGGGGGTGGGGGTCCAGCCATCTGGGTTGTAACAAGCCTGCAGGTGGTTCTAATGCATGTTAACACCTGAGAACCGGCAGTCCGACGTGAGAAAGTGGCATGATCTAATCTGTTTAACCACTTTACGGTGGTGGACATGCCATGTTGAGGGACAGGGGTAGAAGCCACAACACTAGGTCGGGGTCTGGATCTAGAAGCCGCAGTGACAGTGCAAACAACTTGAATGATCTCTATGAGTAAATCCGTGAATGAGAGATTGGACAAGTTGAGGAACAGAACAAATGTTTAAAGACAAAGTTCCCGGGGCACAGAGAGGCTGTCTCCCTCCCTGACAGAGGCTCCACGGGTTACTCCCTCCCAGTCCTCCATCTGCGTGATCCTTTGAACAGCTGCTCCCTGCATCCTAGTCTACATCGTGGAGACGAAAAAGCCTCAGAGAGTTTCTATGAACTACTGGTGTGAGAATGCATCGAGGAGCAGTAGACAATCCTGAAGCTCTGGTAAATAAAGCAGGTCCAAGGGCAGTTTTAAAGGAGAGAAAAGGGAGGTTGGGAGGCCAGTAATTAGAGGCTGACTTAAGAAATTAAAAACAGGAGGGTTAGTGCCCTTCTAGACATGGATGGAGCTAGAGAATATCATGCTAAGGGACATAAGTCAGTCAAAGACAAATACCATATGATTTCACTCATATGTGGAATTTAAGACACAAAACAAGGGAGCTGAAAGGAAAGAGAGAGAGAGACAAACCAAGAAACAGACTCTTAACTACAGAGGAAACACTGATGGTGACCAGAGGGGAGGTGGGTGGGGGAAACAGGTGATGGGGATGAAGGAGCGCACCTGTGGTGATGAGCACCGGGTGATGTATGGGAGTGTTGTCACTGTATTGTACACCTGAAACTAATATTACACTGTCTGCTAACTGGAATTTAAAGTTTTTATTTA